GGGTTAGGATATAAAGGCTAAAAAACATGAATGGAAGTCAATGGAAGGTCCCCACGGGGTCTAGAAACAAACGTGTGTGTGTGTGTGGGGAGAGAGAGAAGCGCAGCAGTCAGCTCTCCCCACCCGAGGCTGAAGGTCAACAGACGATCATGCTAAGCTTGCTAACTGTTCCACCCTCTGACTGCTGCAGGGGCATGTCTTAGAGAGAGGCTTTTATACCAGAACACAGCCGCTGTGACGAAACCGTGGAGAAGACACGTCACCGTGGAGAGCCGTTAACCAATTTGCAAATTAGCCTTCAGTACCACTGCTCTACCCATATGAGGAGCAAAAACACATTTTAGACCAAATATTACAGATTTGAACAAATACGCACAAAAACATCAAAATTAGCACAGAAACAGTACTATATAACATTTTAGATACATTCTAGGCAGTTTATCAGCTAAAAAAAGTTAATTTTGGGGTAAGTTACTCTTTAAGGTGAGACAACTGTGCTTTAATGGTTTCAAACTTGTTACCTGTGCTAATCATTGTGAAACCCATGTGAATTATTGAGCAAAATGTGTTTTAGTGGGTGAAAATGGGTCTGCATGTTGTGTCTAACTGGGTGAAACGTGTTTAGAGTTCTGACAAAAGGGTGGCCATTTTAATAAATGGGTTCTGGCAACTGAGTATTTGGTTCGGAGAACAGGGTTTAGTGTTTTAGCAACTGAGAAAAACTGTAAAGGTAGCTATTTAAAAAATAATTGGTAAAATTACAAATCCTCAAAAAAACTACTCAAGTATTGTAACAAAGTAAATGTACTTAGTTACTATAAACCTCTGGTAAATTCAACTGTTATTTCAAGTATTTCCCTTCAGTGGGTTCTGTCAGAAGTCAACCCAAACGGATACAAAGCAACACTTGGGTGATGGAAACAGGATGGACTTGTATGTAGTCTTCCTGTTTGTTTAGAGACATTATTGATTAATAAAATCTGTCGTAAAAACAAATTACTACTAATTATCTGCGCTCTGAAATTCAAACTAAGAGCAGAGAAAATACAATACAGACCCGCTGACAGCCAACCAACACATCTGGATGAATCCTGGACAATGTGTTGAAAAACTTTCTTTACTTGAACCTTCTTCAGCTTTACATGAAAACGTGTTAAAAAGAAGAGCTTTAGAAAAAAGGACGTGCTGCCCTCTTGTGGATGAACCCAGAACTACAGCTCAAATTTTACAATTGAGCTGCAGTTACTGTTTGACTAACAACAAAGAAATAAGGTGATTGTGTTTTTACAGAACTTTATTTATTCATTTTGTTCCCAAAACACAAGAGTTGAAAGAGATTTGAGTTGTCTGCCTGAAGCACTGCTGAGCTGAACGACTCACACCAACAAAACTTCAAGAAATGACCTTTAACTTCTGAACCACAGTCTTTAGCAGCTTGAACTTTCCACAGCATTTTACTGAAATCATTTTCAGATCTAATGAAAACTGAAACATGTTGAAGAGAAAAACATATCTTAATTATTATTTTTCTTCTTGTGTTTTGGTTGCAGTGAACGAGATCATCGACAGAGACATTGGCAGCCTGAGCAGCGCAGACCAGTTCCACCAGTACGACTAGGACAAAGGGTCCAGCATCCAGTCTTTCTGCAGAGACCCTCTGTAGTTGATCAGACACTTGGAACTGATCTTTAAGTGCCTGAAAACCTTTTAATATGTCTAAGGGGTCATTTCCACATTGTCTCAGGAAAACAGCAAAACATCTGGGGTCGGATTTATAAAACTGGCGTARGCACAATTTGAGCCCAGAAACTTGCGTACGCCACTTTGTACGCCAAGGTTGTGATTTATAAAATCCAAACTTGACGTGAAATTGTGCGGTGCCTCACGCCAGCTCTGACCCATGCGTACGCTCATTTTGGAGATGTGAAACTGCGACACAGATGGTGAAGTGAAGAATTATAGCCATACTGTGTAATGATCACTGTCAGATTTAATTTCACTTCATAATCAGACTTAGATTTTTATTCAACTTTATCATCAGCTTTCTTAACAGTAATATTTATGCTTCTGCTGCTGCTGAGCCATGAGGACCTTTTGAAAAAAAAAAAAACTTAAATCTTAAATAAAAGTTCCTGTGCGCAAATCCCTTCATCTGCTTCCTCCTCAGACGACCCTGACCCACAGACCCCTCCCTGACCCACAGACCCCTCCCCGACAAGAACAGCAGGACAGCAAAAGTCACGCTTTGGATACGCGCAGGGCGCATCCACCTCGCCAGTGTGGATGTTATAAAACTTCATGTTTAAAGTCCGTGTTCATCACGCGGGGGGCGGGGTGCGTGCGTGTGTCTGCCGCGGATAACAGAGCAGGCAGGAGGGGGAGAGGACGAGGAGAAGAGCAGTGAACTTATTTCTACTTTTATCTGACTTATTTAATTTTATTTTTATTGTTTTATCGTCCTGCAGGCTCTGATGGAAAATTAATTTGAAGCTGAGTTTTTTTTAATAAAAATCGTTAGATTACTCTAAAGCAAAATGAGGTAAAATCTGTGTCAATTACAGACATTCTGTTCACGTGAGCAGCTGTCAGTCAGCACCTGTCAACCTCCAGACACACGACGGAGCGTGTCTGAGCCAATCACTTTTGTTGGCATTGATCAGCTGACTGATTTAAATACATCTTAACATTCATGAGGTACTTTGCATTGACTGTTTATGGTTGAATATGGGCGTGTAGAGGGTAGAACCTGAGGCGGGACCTCGTGCGCAAACTCTGACGTGCGGCTGTGATTTATAAAGGAAAGATGAGCAGAAACGTGCGTTTTATAAATTTGTTTTATAAACAGTTTTATAAACTGTTTTATAAATCTGAATTTTTTTTGGCGTACGCCATATCCGCCTTTTGGCCGTACGTTCACTTTTAGTATGGTTTCCTTTATAAATGAGACCCATGGACCTTCCAGACCAAAGATCTTCACTCATCACGACTGAATCAGAAAACTACAATCAGTTAAAGTTGTACAGAAATAACATTTAATAATTTTTCATAAATCTGTTTTTGATACATTAAGTGGTTCTGCTCTAGTAGAAGTGATGCCTGCATGTTTAAGGTTTACATTGTTTTGCTGAATAACGTTTTATGTTGTGAACTTGTGTGAAAAAAATGTTTAAATATATTTGGTGTTCTGCTTTCAGAAATACTTTAATGGTAAATTCTAGTGTCACTGTTCCACTCGAAGCTGCCCTGACTCTTTTCTTTAGGAAATGAGATATGTTTGGTGTCATTTAAAGAGCTTCTGGTCCGGGTCTGCCTGAACGAAGCAGAACTCCTCCACAGCAGAGTCTGAGCCTGAGCTCCAGCAGCTGTTGGTGCACGTGTAAACCAAGACGGTTCCGAACTCCAGCTCAGTTTCTGAGCTGCCTTCCTTCGTCTGCAGCAAGCTGACCAAAGCTGGCATCAGCTGCAGCTCGAAGGTTCTGGGTCCTCCACAGGAGACGCACGCCGGAACCAGCTGACCCATGTTTGAGGGAGGCTCGGAGACGAAGAGGGATTTTCCTCCCCGATGGTACCTCAGGATCTGCTGAGGACACACCGAGATGGTCTTCATGAACCTTGAGAAAACAGCATCTCCGTGTCGCGCTCTCGTCTTCTCGTACTTCTCCTCTTCAGTCCTGGAAGCCCCCTGCAGACCCCCTACTGCTACCCCCTCCCTCCTCTCATACTCTCTGAGCAACTCCTGGGCATGGCCCAAGTCTTCGTCTTCACACAGATCTGACTCCTCCACCACACTGATGAAGAAAGGACGATAGATGTTAATATCTTTGGATTCATCCAGGCTGAGGTGCTGAAGTCCACGGCTGACATCCATCTGACTGACTGGAAGGACCAGGAAACAAATATATATATTACACATCAGAATCATGATATTGTCATGTGATCAGTTAGACTAGTCTCAGCTACTACCACACCAAGTTTTAGGTCAACGTGTCATTTTGACTCATTCAATGTTTATTTTCTGAGAGCTTTACGGCAGTCTCCCCAAAACCAACACTAAAAGTGTGGGGAATAATATTCTGAGGAAGTAAATATTTGTAATGAAGATTTAATAAGAGAAAACAGCAGCGACTGATTATCTAAACTACAATAATCGTTTGGACAGAAGGTTGATTCAGGGTTTATTCGTGCAAGAATTTAGAGAAATGTATAACTTATTTGGAACTTGAAGATGTTATTAATTATCCTTGATTGCCTGGTTCTTTAAATCTTTAAATAATAAAACTATATATATAGTTTATCAATTAAATCAGCGCAGGTTTGATAAAACCTACTTCCAATTGGCTTTAAAGAACCAGGCAATCAAGGATAATTAATAACATCTTCAAGTTCCAAATAAGTTATACATTTCTGGATGCTTCATCAGAGCAGAGTTATCACTCCATCTTCTGGGAACTTCACAGGGAGGCAGGGAAAAGGTGTTAAAAACGTAACAGAGGGATTGTATAGTCTAGATTTTGATTAGTAAAAAAATGTATCAAAGTGAACCCTGATGGGTAGACTCAAAGAACAAATATTTCCGCTCTGAGATCAGAATTCACATAAATCAAAGAAATGTTTTCAGTGTTTTACTGTAAAGAGTTTAAACTAATAAGTTTCCTGCTCAGTAGAACCTACCTTCTGTCTGCAGAGCTGTCTGCTCCTGGACCTGGACTTTCTGCTCCACAACCTCCTCCCACCCATCATCCACCGTGCCCCAGTCATCAGCGGACGAACACCAGTCCGTGGCCGGCGGAGGAGCCTCCTGATGCGGGGCGGGCCGACCGGAAGTGTCCGCCGGCTCCAGACTCTGAGAGCGGAGCGCCGACCAGGCCTCCGACCGTCCGCTGCAGTCCGACCGGGAGCATGCGAACAGGTGCAGGGTCCTGTGGTACGGTGACGCCTCCAGGGGACAGTACACCTGCACCACGTGAGCACTCGGGGCTCCGCACACACCGCAGCGGGGAGACTGCGGCGCAATGAGCGGAGGCCAGTCTGGATCACCCCCGACTTTGTTTGTCAGAAACGTCGTCTGATGAGAGTTCGTCATTCCATCCATCAACCCGATCAGGGTGTCCCGAACCCTGGAGGCCATCTCTCACTCAAGACCAGGGTCTGTCACATGTAGGAAATACTGATGGAACGGACCGAGAAGCCTTCGGACAGGACTCAGCGTCCCGATCGCTTCAGTCCCAGTTCCCTGTCTAAAACATTTTCGTTCTTACAATAATATTAATGTTTCTATAACTATTAAACGTAAACTTAAAAACAGAAGGTGAAAATACATTTCAACTAATAAAAAATTGACTTCGCGAACAACACAAAGGTTCCTACCGGAACTAAAGTTGAAAGGGACGGAACAAAAATAACTTCCGTGGTTTCAGACGCCACCATTGCCATGTGTTGATTGTTGATCAACATGGACCACAAATATTTTTGTGCAGACTCCAAGAAAAGGAAGATTGACACATCGGGGACTGAATGTTATGCTGTAAACTGTAACACATATCAAAATCCTCAGACGAAAGCACAAGGAATAACATTTCACAAGTAAGTTTCTTCTTTATTTTGCCTGAAATTGTCAGTTGCCGTTGACTAAACATGTCAGGTCCTGTATCCTGATGTAAATATCCCTGATGTAGGTCAAATGTCTGCAGCAGTCAGTATTACTGTGTAAAGGAGTTGAAGCACCGCGGTCAAGAGAGCCGACAATGGTGTTTGTGGCGCTCTTTAAAGATTTTTCTGCGCACATAATAGGTGCATTATGGTAAGAGAGCAGGAACAGGTGGAAAAAAGAAAAAGAGGAAATGAAAGATGTATATTGATGACATACCTGTTTTGTTTTTGTTTATTTTTGATTTTTGTTTTACACATGTATACTTATTCTAATACAAATATTCATAATTTTACTGCTCATTTTCTCATAAACACCAAGTCAAAGTACCTGATATGGATGCATTTTTGTCATTTTCAATCATTTATTTAATCAAAATCTTAAAAATCTCTTTGGATTATTATTTGTGTGGGGGTCTTCTTTCACTGCTCCGTTCCCGATTACCATTTGGGGATGGGGTCCGGTGGAGGGGCGGGCAATTTGGTGGGGGCCTGGGCTGCAGGTGGGCTCGGGGTCTGGGGGAGTCGCGACCCCCAGGTTAAATAAATTAATGAAAATGACAAAAATACATATTCATTATCAGATACTTGGACTTGGTGTTTATGAAAAGATGTACAGTTAAATGATGAAAATTTTAGTCTAGATTAGTATATGTGTGTAAAAATAATAGGTATGTCATAAAAATACATTAAAGATGAATCTGCCTCTCGTTTCCTCTTGTTTTCTTTATTCCACCTGCTCCTGCTCTATTACTGTAATGCACCCTTTATGCCCGCAGCAAAGTTTAAAGAGAGCTAATGTCGGCTGGTGTGATAACATCTTTCCCAGTGTTGGCTGTCTTGAAACCACTATTAAACCTGGGCGTAGTTGGCTCGTAGCTGAATAAGCAGCAATGGAATGACCTGTCTGCATCTAATCCAAACTGTTCACAAGTCAAGTGCAGGGCTTAAGTAAAATACGACATCATTTTACTGTTTTTAGGTTTCCAGATAAAACCAAGAATAAAGACCGGTATTACACATGGGTCAGAAACTGCAGGCGGCACTCTGAACCTAGCCCATCATCAAGAATATGCAGTCAACATTTTGAGCCAGAGATGATCAACCGCACACTGCAAAGAGCACAGCTAAGAGAAGGGGCTGTACCTACAATATTCAGCCTGCCTGATCATCTACGGGTAGTCATGATTACTTCATAAATGTTATGAATGATAAAAATCATCCTCAGACCCACCAGTTGTTACATCTATGTTTCTTTGTATGACTCATTTTTACTTTTAGCACAAGAAAACCAAACTGCAGCTGACAAAAACCAGCACAAAAGCTATCAAACCTCTAGAGATGCCTGCTCCAGAGTCCCCTGATGAAGCCCCTCTGACACAGGTGTGATTCTGAAAATGCTACGAAGAAACAATTTTATGAAAAAATGTTTTTTCATGTGGTAAAAGCTAAAAGTGCATTTTTCATACGCAGGACCACGACAACAGTGACAAAGATGTCAAAGAGAAATCTGGAACTTGAAGCGGAGAATGACAGATTAAGGAAAGAACTGATAAATGCAAAGGTCCATGAAGAAACGACAAAAAAAGAAAAGTTGAACGAGGAGCTATAATTGAAGCTATCATCAGATTCAAAGTCCGATGTTAAGGAGATTGGTAAACAATGATAAAATATAACTTTCCTCTCAATTAAGAATGAGAACATCTTCATCCATGAAAGAGTGACCAGTGGCCTGTAGATGAGTGTAAACTGCAGAGTCCTGACCCGACYAAGTAGCTCGTCTGTGCTGGCTCATTCTTTTGAACAGTGGCTGCTTTGTTTCCCCAATGATCACAGTCCTCCTGACACTTCCTGACTCACTCTTTCAGGGATGAAGATGTTTTCATCCTTGAGAGGAACGTTGATTTGATAGAGGAGTAAAGGAAGACATTTTTGTGAAGAAAATTACATTAAACAGAGGTGGAGGCCTTTGTGTCCAGTTGTCCTCCTCCTACAACGGTGTTATTACAAGTATGACTCAGCCCCCTGTGAGCAAAAAGATGTGAATCAGGGCCCCAATGATAGTCAGGTGATGGGGCACATGACCCTCTATGAGCAATAGAGCTAATCAAGCCTATTGTTAGGCGATGGCCCTCTTTTGTATATGACCAACCTGTTTGTCCACCAGGTGGAGGCAGTGCTTAAAAAGGCTGAGTTCACCTGAAACTCGTTAGACTGAAGAAGTCTCTTGGAGGAGAGACAAAGCATTTCATTAAAGAAGAACCCATCCAGAGGACCGACTTATTTTTTCTTTTAGATTTTTCTACCTGATTACTGAGCTGCATCTGGACATATAAAATACAGAAGCAGAGAGTGGACATTTTCCACACACAAGATGGTTTTCTTAACCTCTTAAGCCCCAAGGGTTTTTTTTTTTTTTGACGTTTTTGTTCAAAATCCCATGCTGAAATGTAACTGCGTGTATCTCAGCATTTAGAAACTCTACTTAAATATTGGTATCAAAATAAAGCTAACACTTGGGAGATTTCATCAGAAGTGTAAGTATTAAAATCAGCTCATGTGGTTTTAGAGATATTGAGGATGGAACATAATTAAAAATTTTCTTTTCACTCTCACCTGAATAATCTTTTCATTAGACAGTATAGAACTTAATTAAAACCATAATGATTCCGGCTAAAAAAAAACTATCTACAGTTTAAAAAGTAACTAGTGTGTGAACCTCTGTATGGATGCTGCTGTGACAACTGAACTTCTCCTTGGCGGGACAATAAGGGCTATTTCTATTCTATTCTAAAATGGAAAAAGTTTAGGTTAAGATAATGAGTTAATTATGACGTTATCACAAAATAACTATGACCATTTTCTTGAGATAATTAATTTTTTTCCATTATCAAAAGAAGTCATTGTCTTCTCAAGATAATGAGATGATTATCTCTTCCTGAATGCTCCTGATCAGTTTGCCATGATGAACTCAAGCTGAAAATGTCAGATTGTGGAGAACCTGGCATTGATAAACACATTGATCACAGACTGAAAATGCAGTTTGCTTGTCTTGTACAGATAAGTTTCATATCAGCCCTCATCATTAGGAGATATAGTGTTGAGTTATTTTTGTGAAAATACTGTGTTTAAACAAGAGTTTTCAACAATATACTGTTTCATTTTTTTTATCTAGCACTAATAGCTCGTGGTTAAACAAGAAGAAAAAATACTGCATTTTCTTGCATCTGGTTTGCCTCCATGGGTCACACAAGATCATCTTTTGAATCTGTTATCATTTTTTTAATCACTTGCAACACACCTGCTAATAGCACAACAGTTTTTTTAGTTTGCACCCGTAATTTATTACTCTTTATTTAGGATCTTTACAAATCAACTCCTTTGTTTCTCAGCTGGCCTTGGAACAGCTCAAAACCCTCTCAGATGAGTGATGTGTGATGTGTGGACTTTCTGCTGAAGCTGCTGCCCCCATGACCTGACAGAACTAGAAAAAGATGATGGATGGATGGATGGATGGATGGATGGATGGATGGATGGATGGATGGATGGATGGAAATTTAAGCCTTAAGACGTTCAAACATTAAACCAAATAAGAAATTATTTGCCATCATTCTTTGACTGAATCACTTGTTTATTGTACAGTTAGTTCATCTTATTGCATGTTGATAAATCATATTCTAAGAAATTAGTAATTTAGTTTTAAACATGTTATTTGAATGTTTCGATGTATGAAAATACAACTTTTTTTTGTGTGTCTCCAATAAGTAAAAACTGTTCTGTCATGCTACCTGTTAAATTACTGGTAGTTATTTTTGTCCCAACAATTAAAACCATGACCATTAAACATGTGACAACCACGAACATTAGACTTGTACATACATGTTTAACCCATAACTGAAGACAGCAAAATGTTAAATATCTGCTATTGGAGAAGCTTTCAGCTTCTGTAGGTGCTGTAGGAGAATCGGCTCATCAGCAGAGGGAGGTGAAACCTCTGGGACAGCTCACGGACGGTGAACACCACCTGAAAACACAAGTTTGTGTTTCTGTCATTAATGGAACTTTTTTTTTTATTAATTTCTGTGGCCTAATCCTGACTTTAATTCTAACAATTCACATCTAACCCCAACCTAAACCTTACCCCTAACCCATCAATGAGATTAGGACTGAGTTTTGATCCCCATAAGGACCATTGTTCCTGCTGAGGAAAGCAATCATACCAGAAAGATCCTAAAAGGAACAGAACCCACACACAAGTTGTCTTTGTCAGATTTGGTGACCTCTTGTGTCTTCAGTGGTCAAGCTATCTGTGCTGTGGTGGTTTTGTGAGCCTTACCTCTACATATGGGTAGAAGGATGTCTGACCCAGACTTTCCCAGTATGATCCGGTCTCAAAGCGCAGCTTGTACATGCCGGGGGTGAACGCTTCCTGGCTGATCAGTCCGTGACAGCAGCCTTTTTCATTCGTTGTCCTAAGGGTCAAAGATGAACTGAAACATCTCTTACTTTATTCTAAGCAAATTTGTATCTTTGCAACTTTTTTGTTTTTAGTTCTGTTACAAAAACAGATGGCCTTTTTGATCTGAACCTGCTGGGTTCTGATTTTCTGCAGGACAAATCAGACTGATTCTCTATCTGCAATAAAGTGAATGTGAACAACCTAATCAAGTTTTTTGTATTTTCTGTTCATTTGTAATCCATTTTATTGTAAAAAAAAACTTGATATTTAAACTCAGAGCCTACCCAATGCTGATCATGGTCCAGATCATCAGTTTGGAGTCCAGGCGATGAAGGCTCAGGTCCATTTTGGCTCCTGGAACCCCATCACAGGTGTTGTACACGTGTGTGCTCAGAGGGCTGCTCTCTGCTGTCATCATCACCTGTCCAACCTTTAATCACAGAAACAAGACACTTCATGAGACCAGGACCACGACCCAAAAATAAAGGTCTTTGTCTCTCTGTATTATGGCTCCCCTAAACATTGATGGCCCCCTTGTCCAGTATCATCTTTGTAAGTGGTGTGCCTTTAATTTTTTTACGATCAGTAAACCCCATAAAAACATTGTTTTTGAGCAATAAGAGTTAAAAATATAAATATTTGTTAATTAAAACAAGTATAATTTTTGGATTTAGGACAACAAATCGAGTGATGAC